AAAAAAAAAAAAAAAAAAAAAACCACCAAAAAACTAATAGTGATGATGTGGTATTCAGACAGCTTACCTGAATAAGGGCTGGAATAACCATTTTCACTGTTTTATTAATAACTTGAAAACTGTAAGTATCATCTAGGCGCATGACATTGGCACCCATAAATGTAAAAATAGACATGATATTGTGTAAAACTTTATCCTGAAATAAAACAGAAGCATCAGCATTTTTTAATTTCAAATATATTAAACACTAATAATTCATTTCAATTCACTAAGAAAAAGAGAATCTGTTTTAAAAATGGGTCAGAGTAGGACTGTATGTTAGCATACGTGAAGCCCTGACATTCAACAACTAAAGTTTTTAAAATTAAATTTTTAAAAATTAAAATTGGGCAAAAGATTTAAAAATTTCTTCTAAGAAAAATATGCAATCAAAGCATAATAAAATAAGCATATGAAAAAATATTCAAAGAAGACAGATAATAAAATTCCTTTAACAGATGTGGAGAATCAGAATCTCAGACACCGCTGGTGAGAAACAAATAGGGCAGTCACTTTGGAAAACATTCTGACAGTTCCTCAAAAGTAGAGGGCTTCAAATGTAGCTCAGCCTTGAGTTGGATTCCCAGTACCAAAAAAAAAAAGTGAAGCAGAGTTACTACTTGACCGAAATGCCAAGAGACAAGTGTGTCCACATAAACACATGCACATAAACATTTACATCAAGTTGACACCTAGACCTCCTCCAAGGTGAAAAAAACTTTCATACATACAAATCTTGCATTATTTCAAGATTAAGGCTCCTTACAGGTTACGGGAAACAGCAGGTTAGATCCTCTAATCTAAATCTCTGACAAAAAAATAGTTTTAATTTCTTCAAAGATTTTTATTATTTTTTTTTTTGGTACCGAGGATTGAACTCTGGTCCTTGTCCTTGTGAGGCAGGCAGCGGAACCACTGAGCTAAATCCCCAGCCCCAAAGATTTTTAATATATTTTATATAAGGGCATCATGTCTTCAAATGAAGTAGATTATAATTAAATTATTTTTGTCACCAGTTGAAGACTGTTTAGAGGATTAGCTGAGGATTGATGGACTATTAATTTTTTTCCAAATAAACATTGCTACTAGTTTACTAGATTGTTACAGTGTGCTAGGTACAGTGCTCAGAAGTTACCACAAATTATTCACCTGAATCCTCACTAGAACTGAAAACTTACCAGAATTCTGTGAGGTTTATTGTATTTTCACTTTATAAACCAGGAAATCAAAGCTTAGCAGGATCAAATAGGAAACAGCATCCCATCTATAAAGAGGCAGGGCTGACAGTCCCAGTGGCACTGAGGAATCCTCAAACCTAACACATTTATTTTGTTTTTCCACTAGTCTGGGGATAGATCCCAGAGCTTTCAGCACGCTAGACAAGTGTTCTACCACTGAGCTGTACTCTAAAGAATTTAAAGAATTCTTAACTTAAAGAATTGTAAGTCAACTAGAGACATTTATAGCTACATGGATGCACCTTGAGGCCATACTCAAGTGAAATAAATAAGACTCACGTGTAAATATTGAATTATTTCATACTCAAGTGAAATAAATAAGACTCACGTGTAAATATTGAATTATTTCTCTAGTGTGAGAAAGTGAAAGTGTAAATGAGGACCCCTTCAAAGGGGAAGGGACTAGGGAGGGGGAGTGGGGTAGGAAAGAAAAAAGGGGAAAAAAAACAGAAACAAAGCTTATGTAAATAAGAAGGGGTGGATGGGTTGAAGGGAGGGAAGAGGAATGGGAAAAAATAAAAACCAAGATACATCAGGTACAGGCACATATTCCCAATAACGAATGTGAACATAATGTATACCTAAAATGTACCAATAAACTTAATGAATAAAAATTTTTTTAAAAAAAATCAGTGTATGCCAGTGCATTTCCATGGAAGAAAAATATCTGAAATAAATGCTAAAGTCTAATATAACCATTAGCACTTACCGGAAATATTCCAGCAACTGTACCCAAAAGTAAAAGGGCATGGTGATGAGTTTGAGGCATCTCTGAAAGGCGAATGCACTGAACAATCAATTCCACATTGAACTTCTCCTCATCTACAATATCTACAGTGGTAAGAAATTACAAAATCTAAGTGGTAGGTACATTCATACTCAAAGTAGGGGATATTTCTACCCCTTTCTCCCATCTAGCACTTACCTTTAGGTACTCTGCCACCATCTGGAGAGAGTTTTTGGCAAATATTGAGCAGACAACTAAGAATTAATTGTTTGGTGTATTCCATGCTCCCCTGCTCTGGCAGCAAAGGTTCTAGGCACCTTCAGAACACCCAGAAGAGAAATGATAGGAAATATAACAGTTGTGCAATTGCCACATTAATGACCACCACCCAAAACTCATATTAAATAATAACTAAAGTATGATCATTAAACATAAAGTCTACAAATACAGGGTAAAATTTTTTCTCACAGGGACAGATATTTATGTCAATTATCTTCCTTCTCTATTATTCTTTTCAATAATGTATTTGGAATCTAAGAGGAGAACCTTCAGAATTACTTTGCTTTTCAAATGACACAGCACAGTCCACAATTCAGTAGTACAATCTATGGCTATCTAATCATTTATATCTAAAAGAATACTAGATATTACACTGTATCTTAAATATAAGGAAGAAATTACAGCCCAGGTATAGTACTCAAAGTTCAGAAGGAAACTAGGCAATGGGAATGTACAATTGTTCTCTCAACTACAGTATTTCACTTTCTTTATTGTATAAACTAAATGAAGGCATCTTGAAAGGAAACTTTTAAATATAGTCAGAAAGGCAAGAATTAGAATCTTATTCTCTTACAGATCAAGGCCAAATGTCATTACCTCGACAGCAAGTTAAAAAGAGTTGGTATCAACAGCTGAGGGTTTTTGAGCTTCTTCTTGTGTTGCAGTAATTCCAAGATGAGTGTTACTCGCTGCCAGTAAGAACTTCCAACTTCCTGAACAGATTCTAGATCCTGAGATTTTCTGGGAAACAGAGAAGACAAAAAGTTGAAAATGAAATACTATCATTGCTAAGTAAAAAGTACTGTATCTGATTATACCAAATTGATGGGTATAAAAACAAATCACAATGCTTTCATAACATTTGGAGCATGCTCTCAGTGTACGCATAATTCTTACTTCTGCTGCATTTTTTGTCTTCTTGTTTGCTGAACTGTGCCCAAAGATTTAGTTTTATCTGGTGGTTCCAGTTCTATTCTGACTTGTTCAGCATTAACAGAAATCTGAAATATTGAAGGAAACAAATAATTCAGTGGAACAAGATTATGGTAATGATTAGAAGAGATGAGATGAAAGCATTTATGTCCACTTTTATGTCTTTATACATTCTAGAGCACAGCCCATTCCCCAAAAGAAAGTATCACTGACACAAATGAATCCTTTAAGAAATTTTCCATATACCAACAGTCATATAAAGATATCCACTGCTCTGGTACTTTGGTAATTTACTTATACCAGCACACACTTATTTTATCATGCTGCGTATATTTATTGTCACTGAGTAAAAGTGTTTAATAGAGTGAATTTTGGTAATCAATATAATTTTTATATTGAAATGTACAGTTGCCTTCAATGCAAAGCCAAGCTTATCTTGGCTGATATAACATGTGTGCAAATATTTCATATGTTCTCTAGTTAGCTGAAATGAAAGACAGGGGAAACCTGGGCTAAAATTTTCCTTTTGGTAACTCCCCAATCTTCTAAGATGCTTCCTTTTGGGCTAAATCTTAAGTCAACCAGCACTCAGCACTATGTAGTTAAGAATGTATTATCTTTGTGATTCCCTCAAATTTCTCTCCAAGTTTCTTTAAAGATATTAGAACTAAAAAAAAAAATTCCTCCTGTAATCCCAGCACTTAGGGGCCTGAGGTAGGAGGACTGCTGCAAGTTTGAGGCCAGCCTAGGCTACCCTGAGTTCAGGGCCAGCTGCAACTACAAAGAGAGACCCTGCCTCAAAAAAACAAAAACCAAGAAACAAAAGCAAAAAATTAAGATTAAAATCAGACATAATCTTCTAAGAAGGGTCCTCCATTGATCTGTGTTTGTATTTGCCCTACCCTCTCACATGCATCTGATACTATTACCATCTTAAAGACTGAGACTATAAGAAAAATCAGAACAAAAGAAAGGAGGGAGAGGATACAAATCAAAACCAACCTAATTAGCCAACATGGATTTAACTTTAATTTTCACTTTAATTGTGCTCTTCCTCTACCTCCATTTGCCTTTACAGTGTCTGTCCTGGATATCAAGTTACAGCCCTGAATTTGTCCTGGTGATATGGTAACACTTCTCCAGTCCAGTCACCCAATTCCATATTCATCCCTCAGAGTGGAAAATAGCTACTTAATACAAAATCATCTAAACCCACTGGTTCTACATGCCAAGCTAGATGTATCCTATTAAACTGGCAAATAATGAGACAAACATACATACATACACACAGATTCATAGCTCCAGAGAGTCTCTAGAAATAGGGTAGGATCTAGGAAACTCTTTTCTTTTTTTGCGGGGGTACCAGGGATTAAAGTTGGGACTTTGAGTTTGCAAGGCAGCAGCAGAACCACTGAGTCAAATCCCATCCCCAGGAATCTCTTTTCTTTAGAAAGGTTCTGACATGACAACTAAATATTAAGATTTTGATTCCAAGAAAACAATTTCAAAAAGTATATTTGAGGCAATCATAAAAATATGACAATGGACTATGTATTAGATGATACAAAAGGATTACTGTTTTTTTCAGGCATAATAGCATTGTAGTTACATAAAAAAATCTATTTTTTAAATAGATTCATAATGAAGTAAACAGGAATGAAAAAATGTTTTATGATTTACCACTTCAACAAAGAAAAAGCTGAAAAGATTGAGTAAATATGTTAACATTTTGAAAATGGCTAAATCTGGATACTAGAACTTCACTGTATTATTCTCTATTTTTTTGAATTCAAAAAACAGAATAACTAGGCAATATCCCAGTGTTAGCTAGGTTTTGATATACATATAAGCCAAGCAAGGTGGTGCATGCTTATAATCCCAACAATGGGAAAACTGAGGAGGACAGCCTTCAGTCTGAGGGCAAACTGGGCTACACAGTAAATTCAAGGCCACCCTAAACTACATAGTGAGACCCTGTCTCAAAACAAACCATGTAAACCAATGAGCATATTCTGAATTCCATACAGTGGCACATGACTGTTTAAGAATAATCTCAGCCAGCACAGGTCACAAGCAATAGCCAGAGGACTGCCCTGATACCATAGGTAAGTGCACCCAGATCCTAGTGAGAAGACAGTGTGGATCATAGTGGTGTGGCTGCAGGCACATCCAGCCATGGCCCTGCCCTAACCTTGGCTGCTTGTGCCCACAAGCCCCAGCCAAAGACCCACTGGGAAAAGAGATGCACAGGCATACAAGCAACAGCCAGAGGCCTACCCTGATACCACTGATAAGTGCACGCAGACCCTAGCCAGAAGCCCTCCCAGAGACCAGCAACTGGGGTGCTCAGCCCCCAGCCAGAGGCGCTCCCAAAAAATAGCTATATAGGAGGGTAGGGCCTAGCCAGAGACATGCCTAGATACCATCCCAAGTGTGGTGCACAGGTCCCAGCCAGAACCCTGCCTGGACAAAGGATAACTCAGGGATCCAGAATGCCACCACTCTGAACCCAGGAACTGGTACAGTGGTGAGCAGCAGAGAAAAGGCTGCTCCGTGGCTTGCTGAGAAATGAAGACCACTAGTTGGGCAAAAAGTTACCTCAACAAAGGGACAGCAGGCTGCATCTGTTGAAATGAGAAGACACATAAACAAGTCTCAAAACCAGACTTCCAGATCACCTGAGGCAACCCCAAAGGGCAACAAGATGGAACTATCTGATACTCCACCACCTGGATTCCCTGGACTGGCAATGAAAGAGGATCTGAAAAAAATGAAATCAGCAATATTTCTCAGAAAACAACAGAGATTGTGCCTATAGTGTAAGACATGATTAATAAATCTAGAGCATATACAGACAGGAAATTAAAAAACACCATTAAAAGTTTACACAGCAGAATGAGCCAATGTGTAGACAGAAATTCAGACACAGAAGACAGGATTACAATTAGTAGACAGGAAAAGAAAATTTTCTTAAAAATAATAAGGAACCATGAGAAATAAATCCAGCAGCTGCTAGATGATGCAAGGAAGAATAACATAAGACTGATTGGAGTCAACAAAGACACAAGGAGAGAGTGCAAATTACATAAAAAAAATGTTCACAAAAGTAATGGCAGAAAATGTCCCAAACGGAAAAAGAAATTGACATACAGATAAGTGAGGCATGTACAACTCCAACTAGCCATGATGAAAAGAAAAAAATCTACACCCAGGCTTATAAAGTTAAAATTCCAGAAACCCACAGAAGAACAAAATTATATAAGCAGTTAGAGAAATGAAACAAATTACATACAAAGGAAAGTCCATCAGAATCACAGCAGACTTCTCAACACAAACCCTCTCAAGGCAAGAAGAGCTTGGAGTGACGTATCTCAAGCCCTAACCGAAAAAAACCTCCAACCCAGACTGCTGCACCCTGCAAAACTATCTTTCAAAATTGATGGAGAAATAAAATACTTTTATAACAAAGAGCATCTGATGAACTGCATGAATACCAAAGCAGCACTCCAAAAAAATTTAAACAATATCCTAAGAAAAGACAATGAGGATCACAACCCCAGGAAGACCAGCAGAGTGAATCCATCAGGCATGTCAAAAAATTAAATGCAAAGTGGGAGAAACCAACAAAAAGAAAAAGTCCTAACAAGGATGCCAATACATGTCAGTTACAATCATTAATGCTAGCGGTCTCAATTCACCAATCAAAAGAAACAGCCTGGCAGAATGGGTCAAGAAGCAAGATCCAACAATATGCAGCATACAAGAAACACACTTAATTCAAAAAGAAACTCACAGACTTAAAGGATGGAAAACAATACTCCATGCAACAGGAACCCCCACAAAAAACCACAGGAATAGCTACCCTCTCTGCAGATTAAATGGACTTCAAACCAACCCTGATTAAGAGGGACAAAGAAGGACACTAGATCCTTGTAAAGGGAAAAATCCAAGAGGAAGAGATGACAATTGTAAATACATATGCACCAAATATTACTATATCCAACTATACAAAACAAATACTAATGGACATGAAAAATCAAATAAGCACTAATACAATAGTAATGGGGAACCTCAATATACCACTGTCACAGACAGACCAACTAGAGAAAAAATAACGAAATACTAGAACTGAACCAAACTTTTTTACGGACTTAATAGATGTCTACAGAGTGTTCCACTGCAAAAAATCAGAATACACGTTTTTTTCAGGTGAACACAGGTCATTCTCCAAAACTGACCACATGCTAGCTGATAGAACATGCTTCAGTAAATGCAAAAGAACTGAAGTTATCACCTGTAGACTGTCAGACTATACTGCAATAAAACTGGAGATCAACAGCAAAAAACCACAAGAACTTCACAAACACACAGAAATTGAATAACACCCTCCTGAACAATCAAGGGGTAACAGAAGAAATTAAACAAAAAATTAGACAGTTTCTACAATTTAATAATGCCAATACAACAAACCGGAATTTATGGAACACAATGAAAGCAGTCCGATGAGGGAAATCCATAGCAGTGAATGCCCACATTAGGAAAATAGAGGGAGCTCAAATAAACAAACTGATGTTGAACCTCAGAACAAACCCAAAGCTCATACAAGGGAGGAAATTATAAAGATCAGAGCAGAAATCAATGCAAGGGAGACTAAGAGAATACAAAAAAAAAATCACTGAAGCAAAGAGTTGGCTCTTCAAAAGAATAAACATAATTGACAAACCCTTAGCCAACCTTAATAAGAAAAGGAAAGGCCTAAATCCATGAAATTAGGAATGAAAAGGGTAAAATTATAACACACCCAGCAAAAAATCCAGAGGATCATCAATACCTACTTTAAGAACCTATATGTCAATAAAATGGAAAACACAGAAGAAATGGACAGGTTCCTAGATACATATGAATTACCAAAGATGAATGAAGACCTAAAACTTTTAAACAACCCAAAATTAACCAATGAAATTGAAAATGTAATTAAAAACTTACCAACTAAGAAAAGCCTGGTCCTGATGGCTTCACTGCTGAATTCTACAAGACATTTAGTGAAGAGCTATTGCCACTACTATTTAAACTCTTCAATAAAATTTAAAGGGAAGCAATATTCCCAAATTCATTCCTAGAAGCAAGCATCATCTTCATCCAAAAAGCAGAGAAAGACCAACTGAAAAAGAGAACTGTAGGACAATCTCAATAATGAACATAGATGCAAAAATCCTTAATAAAACACTGGCAAATAGAACGCAGAAGATCATCAAGAAGATCATATACTCTGACCAAGTGGGATTTATCCCAGGGATGCAGGGATGGTTCAACATGTGTAAATCAATAATTGTAATACATTATATTAATAGAGCCAAGGATAAAAACCATATGATCATCTAAATAGATGCAGAAAAAGTATTTGACAAAATTCATCACCCTTCATGATAAAAACCCTACAGAAAATTGGAATAGACAGTCTCTACCTCAACCTGATAAAAGTCATCTATGAAAAACCAACAGCCAATATCATACCAAATGGTAAAAAAACTTAAATCCTTCATGCTAAAATCAGGAACAAGACAAGGATATCCCCTATCACCACTCTTGTTCAATATAGTTTTAGAAACAATAGCCATTGCAATTAGACAAGAGAAAGAAATAAAATAAAGATAGGAAATGAACAAGTCAAATTGTCATTATTTGCATAATGATGACATGATACTCTATAAACAAGACCCCAAGAACTCCACCAAAAGTCTTCCAGACTTAACCAAATTTAGTAGAGTACCTGGATACAAGGTAAACACACAAAAATAAATAGCTTTCCTGTACACAAATAGACTTACTGAAAAAGGAACTAGAGACACACAACTCCCTTCACAATAGCATCCAAAAAAAATGAAATACCTAGGAATCAACCTAACAAAAGAAAACAAAGACCTCTACTCTGAAAACTATAGAACTCTGCAAAAAGAGATCAAAGAGATTATCAAGAAATGGAAAGACATCCCTTGCTCCTGGGTAGAAAGAACCAATATAGTGAAAATGCCCCTATTTCCAAAACTGCTATACAGATTCAATGCAATCCCAATTTAAGTACCAGCAGCATACTTCACAGACCTTGAGAAAACAATCCAAAAATTCACTTGGAACAAGAGATCTAGAATAGCAAAAGCAATTCTAGGCAACAAAGACAAGGTAGGAGGCATCACAATCCCCAAAATTGAAACTATACTACGAGCTACTGTGATAAAAACAGCCCAGTACTGGCAAAAAAACAGGCCTGAGGACCAGTGGAACCGATTAGAAGATGCAGAAACAACTCCAGATACACTCAGCCACCTCAACTTTGATGAAGGAGTAGAACACCCTTACTGGAGGAAAGATAGTCTCTTTAATAAACGGTGCAGGGAAAACTGGGTTTCAACTTGCCAAAGACTAGACCTATGTCTCTCACCATGCACTAAACTAAAATAAAAATGGACTGAAGTTCTAAATTAAACAAAACAAAACCAGCTAGAAGAATTAAAAAAGAAACAAAACCAGCTAGAAGAGAGGTTAGGTAGAACTCGAAGACACTGGCATAGGAAAAGATTTCATGAACAGAAGCCGGGCATGGTGGTGCACACATGTAACCCAGCACTTGGGAGGCTGAAGCAGGAGGACCACTGTGAGTTCGAGATCAGCCTGGACTACATACTGAGTTCCAGATCAGACTCAACTACATATTGAGACCCTGTCTCAAAAAAAAACAAAAAAAAATTTCATGATCAAAACCTCAGTTGCACATAAACTAGTACAAAGAATCAACTAGTGGGATCTCTTCTTATTAAAAAGTTTCTGCATAGCAAGAGAAACCACAATGAAGAGACAACCCACAATGTGGGAAAAAATTTTTACCAGCTATTCCTCTGTCAAAGGTCTACTATCTAGAATGTATGAAGAATGTAAAAAAATCAGATCCCCAAATTTGAAGATCCAATCCAAAAATGGGCCTCTGAAATGAACAGACATTTCTCACACAAAATAGAAATAGCACACAAACATATGAAAAAATGTTCAATATCACTGGTCATTCGAGAGAAAAGAATGGCTGCTATCATGAAATCAACCAATAACAAAATGCTGGCTGGGCTGTGGGGAAAAAAGGAACCCTTCTCTACTGTTGGTGGGACTGTAGACTGGTGCAACTGTGGAAATCAGTATGGAGATACCTTAAAGAACTACAACTAGAGGTTTCATTTGACCCCACAATCCCCTGCTGGGTATCTTCCAAAAAGAATTGTAAGTATCATACCAGAGCAACATGTGTGTATCCACGTCCATAGTGGCACAGTTTGTAACAACTAAAACATGGAAACAACCGCTCATCAACTGGAGTCTGGATAAATAAAATGTGTGTGTGTGTGTGTGTGTGTGTGTTTAAATAAATGGAGTACCTCAGCCATAAAGAATGAGAAATTAGAGGCATTTTTAGCTAAATGGATGCACATTGAGGCGGTGAAATAAAAAGGACACACATGTGTAAATACCAAATAGTTTTGCTGGTTTGAGAAAATAAAAGTGTAAACAAGAATCAAAATGTATAATACAGCGTGAAATAGGAAGAAAAGGTGCAAAGGGGAAGGGAAAGTAGAAGGGTTAGGAGAAAGGAAAGGGGAATGGAATTAACATGAGAAAATGAAAAAATGGAAACAAAGTCTTCGTAGGAGGGAGGGATGGAGCAGCTGAAGGGAGGACAGGGGAATGGAGAAAAAATAAGAATCAAGATATATTATGTAAAGGAACAAATATCCAGTGATGAATGTCATTATACTGTATACCTAAATTGTACAAATAAAATTAACAAAAACAAAACAAAACAAAAAGTAATCTCAGTGAGCTCACTATCAAGCTCATTCTGTTCTTCCCATGAAAACAGGCAGATTCTACCTAATACAAGATCTAAATTGTAACACACACTCACGCCCCTTACCTCATTAAAATTATAAATATTTCAAAACAACAAAAATAATGGTAGAGACTTATTTTGCTCCTACACCTCTCTATGACCTACTTTCCCATGACACTTTGTAATAGTGATAGCTGATCTTTTAGGGACACTAGAATGTGATGTTACTTGGAAGAGACAAAGCATCAATAGACAAATTACTCAAAGTTTGTAACTTACCCCTTTAAAAACACTGCCAACAGTCTGAGTGCAATGTGCATTTTTACAGTTTACCAGTAAATCAAATAACATGGACAGAATTCTCTGCTGAATCTTCTCATCTGCTATAGCTGCAAAAAATGGCTTTGTGATCTACAGACAAGAAAAAAAAAATACCCTTCTAAATTCAGAGAATGAGCTTGAACTCCAAAAGTGATTTCTGTTCCATTTTCACTCACAATATGAAATAGTTCCACATTATCTTCTCATTTAAAATGCAACTCTCTTTAACAATCAATTTATAACTTTTAGTTCTAAAGAGTAGGTAAAATATATCATGTCCCTCTAAAACATGTCCAGTCCATCAATAATGTATAGTACAAAGCTCTCAATGTTTGAACACACTTGGGTTTCTGAAGAAAGTCACTGACCTTTTCGAGGGCAGTGATCTGAATGGTTGGCGTTCCTGTGCTAAGTTCCTTTGCTGTGTGTATGGCCTTTATAAACATATCTAGACTCTTTGGATCCTTGTGTAAAAGAGAAGCTGAATATTCATTATATTTTCCCAGAGCAAGATGCAAAACAATGGCCTCATCTTTCAGGACAGCTGTGTGCTCTTTTTCCATCTTTCCTAGTAGTTGTTCCACCAGAGGCAACAGCTGAGATAGCACCATCTAAAGATTGGAAAATGTCTTAGTGAACAGCTACCAACTAACGCTTTAGCACACTCTACAAAGACATTGAAAAGTAAACTGGGAGCTTATCCTGAAGGAAAACACTTAATCCCCACAACTCTTAGACAAGGAGTGGCTATTAACCACAGGAAGGTGCTCAGGTCCCCTCTGGCAATTTAACTGTAATGCCCAACACTAAATAATCGGTGTGTTTCTTCAGATTTCCTGAAAGCAGCTAGTACAAACCAACATTTGAGTATAACGCTATTTTAGCATTTGCTAAAACACTGTGCTTACCTTAAACACTACTTTCAATTTGGTATGATTAGTATCAATTAAATTATATATGTGTAGGCTTTAGCAACCAAATCAGCAAATCACAGCTTACAGTCCAAATTCAAGGATAACCTGGTTTGGTAAATTGTGTTAACATAGCCATGCTTACTTGTTTGTATACCATCTCTGGCTGTTTTCTTGATACAGTGACAGAACTGAGATGCTGAAACAGACACTGGTGGTTCATGGGTCCACATTCATTCCATTACCTGGACTGGTTGGAGGATCCCACTGAACACCAAACGCTACAGACAAGTCCCTTACGTAAAAGGGCACAATATTTATACATTATTTATGTAATGCTCCCATATACTTAAAACACTTCTGGACCACTTTTAATATTTAATAAAATAGGAAGAAAAGGGCTAAAGGTGTAGGGAAAGTGGGAAGGGTAGGGGAAAGGGAATAAGGGGGAAAAGAAAAAAATATGAGAAAATGGAAATAAAGTGTTTGTAAACAGGGAGGGGAAGAGGGGCTGAAGGGAGGGCAGGGACAAGGGGAAAAAATGAGAACCAAGACCTGTCATGTAAAGGTACAAGGTCTCAATAATGAATGTAACTGTACTGTATGCCTAAAAAGTACCAATAAACTCAATTTTAAAAAAATTAATAAAAGGTTAATGGTATGTAAATAGCTATTGTACTGTATTGTTTAGGGAATGACAAGGGGAAAATGTACATGTTCGTTACAGATGCAAATTATTTTCAAAAATTAATTGGGCAGGGTACTGGGGATTGAACCTAAGGATGCTCTACCATTAAGCTACATCCCCAGCCCTTTTTAAAAAGTATTTTATTTTGAGACAGTCTCACTACGTTGCTCAGCTCGGTTTCCAGCTCATGGTCCTTCTACTTCAGCCTCCTGAGCAACTGGGGTTACAGGTGTGCACCACTGTACCCTGCTCCCCACTTCCTTTTGATTTGAGACAGGCTCTCTCTGTGTTCCAGGATAGCCTTGAACTTGCAACCCTTCTGCCACAGCCTCCCAGATTCTGGGAGTACAGGTTTGCACTACCATGCCTGGCTTGGATTCCAAATATTTTTACTGAAGTTTGGATGAATCTGCAGATGTGGAACTCATGAACCTGGAAAGCCAAGTGGAGTGACTACCTGGTCCTTTACACAAGTTTATCAACTCTTAAACAGGGAAAACTCAAGAGTCAATACATGGAAGAAATTTAATCAAATGGTCTTCATTCCATTTTCCCTGTTTTAATTTTCTTAAGTCTACAGCTAGTACAAGGCTGGTAAAACACACAAGCATTTTTACAACACTAGGATAAAAAAAAAACAACTTCTTTGCTGACCAACAACACATTTCATCACCTCACTCCTTTGTACCATAAGCTTCCTGGAGAACATAATGAAAGCTATGGTCTCTTCCCCCACAAAAATATGCAAACACGTCGTTAATAAATAAGCAAACAACTCTGGAATTGTCAGAGATTCACATCTAAATATTTTCCCCTGTGGAGGGTTTCCCACTTGACAGACATAAACCAACAGCTTTCTGTAGAGTACCTCCTATGACTTTAAATGTATTAAAATTAAGTTTAAAAACATAAATATAACACAATTTTAAAGTGGTAAGAAATTCACTAACATGTGCTTTTTGCATCCTGCATCTTTTCTCCACCTCCAGCTCATCTTCCTTCCAAATGATCACTTCTGAGAGTATACGCATAATGCTCACAAAGGTCTTCCTCAGACACAGGTGGGGACAACCATTCTCCGATAACATCACAATCCACTTAAATTTCACATACCTCACTGTTGACGTCCCGAAACACTTTCATCAGCTCTTTTGCTACATAAGCTGGGCAACCATACGCACAATAAAGTAGGTTTTTCAAAGTTTCAGACAACTTCTGATGAGATTTCTGTTTCTTTTCTCTCTCTAGTTCCTCAAATAAAGCAGCTAAATCCTAGGATACCCAAAATAAAACTGAATGAAAAAGGGTTAAAAACTTCAAAGGCTGAGTATACTAATTACAAGCGATCCTTTCCCAAATAAAGTGACACTGCTTTCATTTTTCACTTTCTTTTAACGCAATAATTGCAGAGTGTACCCATACCCCAGTTAGCTCACTATGAAAAGCTACACATGGGTCTTTTATCCCAGAAAGATCAGCAAAATTGAAATATAGTATTATGATCTTTTAAAAATGGGACAAAAGATAGAGTTATCGACATATCAGTTTCTAAATTCAGTGACATTCCATCAAAATCCCTATGAAGTAAAATGTGGACAATTGAGAAAACTGCTCATGTGGACACGCCCCCTCCCCTCATACACACCTTCACCAGTGAGTTTACCTGAATGACATAGGTGGCATCAGAGGTAATCTCCTCTGCTTTGGGAACCAGATGATGTATCACCAGATGAAACTGTGATGCCACTCCACTAAGGGCCTGAAGACACTGAATGGCAGCCCTACGGACTTCTTTTATGGGGCTTCCCAGATTAATGATTAGTGACGCCACCACTAAAATCAAAGGGGGAAAAACGTAAATAGTTTTAAAAATGGAAATAGTGCAAAATTTAAATAGATGGCACATCATGACAAGTTTCCCCCTGGGGCTGGGGAGGCAGCTCAGTGGTAGAACACTTACCTAGCAGGTAAGACCCTGGGTTCCAGCCCCAGAACCATAGTGTGTAACATCCGCGCGCGTGCGCACACACACACTCACACACACACACACACACACACACACACACACACACACACACACACACGGTGATTCTCCTCAGCCTCCCTACTACTGAGATTACAGGTATGGCAACCACACCTGACTCCGAAAGTTTTGTATTTATCCATGTGGAAAAATGTACCTAACACATTAACTGAAAAATGAAAATTAAAATGTATAGGAAATTCTCATTGTCCAAAAATAACTACACACATCTTAAGCATGACTCACCTGAAATAGAGACTAGAATTATATATAGCAAACAATGGAGAAAAACTTAACTTCTATGAATTTTTATTTTGTAAATAAAATTTGAAATTACATATTAATGTTACAAAATCCTGGCTATAAATGAAATTTTTATGCTCTTTCCAGGAATTTATAAAAGGTAAACATTTACAAGTTGTTCTGAGGAAAGTATATGCTCATTCACTTTGCTTTCACAGAACACTTACAGAAAGTGTTTTTAGAATTAAAAACAAAATCAAGAACATCTTCAAATTTCCAAGAGCCACTCTTAGCCTCTGATATTAAAATCATTCTAGTTTGAAGCACCAATCATATCCATTAACCTCATTCATTTTTTCTACCTCCAGTCATTTTGCTGTGGTACAAGTCTGCTGGATCAACCCATTTGCCAGTCACTCTGTAAGTCAACCTGCTTATCAGTATCACATTCAACTTCATGAAATTCTATAACTTTTGCAAACCTTTCAATTCCGTTATAAAAAAAAATATTTTCAGTTGATTCATTAGAGAACAATGAATCTAAAAATGATCCATACCCGATAAAAGTGATGCATTTGGGAAGGATTTCTGAATAATCAGCTGATTACTGAATTATATGATTTGGTTTCCATATATAACTGTAGCTGCTGAAGCTCAGAAAACGAATAGCTATATAGTAAGAACTTATGTATATCCCTCTGCCATTTTTATTTTTCAACTTTTGTGTTTAGTGAGATTTTACCAAGTAGTAAACATACAATTAGAAAAACTTTATGTATAGCCATTTCGAAAAAAATAAAGCTATAGATTTTTCCAAACTACATAGACTAATGCAGAGAAAACACTAACAGTTTTGCTGTTTTGGTATTTTTCTCTTTTTTTGAGACAGGGTCTGGCTACGTAGTTCTGGCCAGCCTCAAATTCACTATGTAGCCCCAGGCTGGCCCCAAACTCTTGGAAATCCCCTGCCTCAGCCTCCTGAGCACAAGGCCACCATGGCTGGCCTATTTTGGTATTTTCAGTACCTGGAGATGACATGGACGCCAGCTGCTGTTTACACTGTGTCTTCTGAGAAGAGAGCATCGCACAGCCCACGTAAAGTGCCTGGGTCTGAAGTGTAGACTTCACACTGCAGTTAAGTGGATTTGAAAGGCTAAAACCATAGGTCCATAAAATAGAAAAGAACTTGAATAACTGCAAAACATCTTCTAGTTGTACCTGGATAAAACAAGAAAAGGGAAGTTTAATTCTTGAGTAAGTTGTTTCCAAATTCTGTTTTCATCAAGGTAAAAATGTAAGATGACAATAATGTGATAATCACATAAATTTATTCTGCACTTGGTACATTATTTTAACCAATTAGGAATGATATGAAGAGTGATGTCCCTAAGGCCCACCATAATTCTGAATTTGAAGACAAGGATACTAAGTTTAAAAAAAAAAGAGTGATGCCTGGGAAGCTTCATTAAGAACTTTGAAGATGGAGCAGCCATCGTCAATGGCGTCAAATGCCGTGGAGAGAAAGTTAGACAAGAGTAAGAACCAACTACTGGCTACATGGAGGTTACTAGCGTTCAGGAGGAATTTCCTATCTGAGTGACTTTGCACGGTGCTGGAAAGCCTCTCTGAATATGAGTTTTCTCATATGCAAGTGGTATTTAAAAACCAAACAGACCGAAGTTTTGTGATTCTTAAATACACTAGTGAACCTAACACATTAGTAAGGACGTAGCAATGTAGGTCTCTGCTCAGTGTACGGCTTAGTGGCACGACTATAGTACTGCTCACAGGACCTGTGTTCATTTGCACATATTCTTCACTGTTTAAAATCTACTCTCATTTTTATTATTCATGTCTTAACTACAATATCCTACAATAAACCTAAATTATCTTCTTAAAGGGAAGAATGTCTGAAAGGGAAGGGTGAATACCTTTATGAGAAGTTTCATCAGAACCCTGAAATGAACAGCATCAGCACGCTCTAGGATCATCTCAAAGAGCCCAATGAGCAAACACAGGTAGTGCCTGCTGTCCTCTTCCAGTTGTTCAGGATTCCACCATATGTCATCTATAGGGACAGAGAAAAAAAGGAAAGCCACATACAACCTATGTGAGCATATTGTGGGGAGCTTCTCATTCAAGTTGAAGGAGAATCATGTAGCCAAGAACTCAGTTTTGCAGAGCATTGTGTTTAAAGATTCACACTTTGCATCTTACCTTTAGGAAAAGATTTAGGAGCCTTTAGTGCGTAAATAAAATTCTTCAGGAAAAACAAAAGTAACACTGAATCCTCCATGGCAACTCCATGGGAGCTGTGGAACTGCTCTACATAATGAGCCCACAGCTCCTCTGGTAAACCTCTGTCCAACATCAGCTCTGGGTACCATTCCGAGGAGATTTCCTGAAATGTTAAAAAAACAAACCCTAGGAAACACTGAAGGGATTATGCAGGTAGACTGTAAAATATACGGGTTCCTTTTGGCAACTGGAAAAATCCTGTCAATAAGGACATACCAGTGGGGAAAGGATTAATAACTTTCCTACAGATTTTAAGAGGGGCCTATTACTAGTCACACGCAAAATCAAAGGAAAATTAGATATTGCTTCATTAAACACTATCTGTAGAATAAACTTTACTCATATAAGCTCTAATAAATAAAGAGCAGAAGTAAACAGGCATGTTTCTAAATAAAAGACAAGGAATCAGGTTTCCAAGAGATCTTTAAAGGGACATTTTCTCATTCCACATTTTTACTGCTAATCTGAAGAAGGTATATGGTAAAATCTCCAAAGGAAAATAATCTAAATCTAGATCTAAGATAATGTCTTTCGTGGGGATTTGGTTGGCTCAATGTGTCACAACAGTTAAAAATATGCCCATGGTCCTCAAAAAGGGTATTAAAAATAAAGCAATATAAAACAATTTGTCCCCTACTTATATATAGAACACTCAGTCCATATTTTAAACAATGAGAACAAACATAGTTCCAGTTATTACACTTCTTAAAGGAAAAAGAAGTCAGATTTTAAGGGCACACCTAGGCCACTTTTTAAAAGATGAAGATTTGTTCTTTTAAAGTTTACACAATTTTAGCTAACAATAGCGAAGTAAATCCTGAGTATAAATCAATGGGAAAAAGATGTAATTCATTTAGGAAATCCTACAATGAGAAGCCCTTTAAAGTTTGGAGGATAAAAACAAAACTCTATTATTACATATGGCAGATATTAAAGAAATGATCTTATGTGGTACTTGGTAGAAACATAAACTAATGAGCCAGGTGTGGTATACAGGCCTGTAATCCCAGCACTCAGGAAGCTGAGGCAAGATCACTGCTAGTCTGAGGACAGCCTGAACTACGTAGTGGGACTGTCTCAAAAAAACAAAACAAAAAAAATAAATAAAAACAATGAATATCCCTAAGTAATACTGTCAAAGACAACAGCAGGTTGAAGAGATCCACATCTAATGAAAAATTGAAATTTTTAAATATAAAAAAACCTCTTTAGTAAACAATAAAACAATATAATATTTTGCTCAAACACAAATACAATAAATGGATTCATCTCTAGAGACAAGTGTAATTTGGATAATTACTCAATAAAAATAAAGATAGAGCCAGGGATTTAGCTCAGTGGTTCCACTGCCTGCCTCGCAAGGTCACAGTCCTGAATTCAACTGCCAGTACCAAAAAATAAATAAATGAATGTATGTATGTATGTATGTATGTATAATGTATGTACGTAAAAAGGATATCAAATCTTGCAACCTTGAAATTGTATAATCCAGTTCAATTTTCCAAGAAAGCATGGCAGCATTCCACTGCTTCCCAAGACCCCTTCCCATTTCAGCCTGCTAGCATCTAAACACTATATCCCAGCTGCTGCTTTAAATTCTGCTGTGATTGACAAGCCAGGATGTCACTTTATTCAACAATCAACTCTCTATAGACTCTGCACTCCTTACCAATGCCGTTATCACACGTTCCAGCTTCTTCATTTTTTTCTGTAATAAGCTGAAGACTCTTATTGCAAATGGAAAGTGAGTTTCTTTTAAAGATGAACAGCAAGAGACAAGCACAGACACAATTACGTGAAATGTCACTTTCTGCTTCAGGTTAAGGGATTCCTTTTCACCAACACTTATTAAATCGTCCACCTTGAAAATAAATGTATTCCATTACTGGCAGCTCTTGATTTTCGTAAGACACATTTCTATGTCAGTTTTATCAAGATAAGTGCGTTTTCCAAATAAAGGGAAATGACAAGTACAAAGCTTTAAACAAGCCATAAGCACTGATTTCTAAGTAATTACAAAAATTAATATTCTCAGAAATAATGTAACCACACTTGCTAACAGGTTCATGAATTTAAATTGCATAACATCTTTACAAAGGTTATCACAAGGTAAACCATTTTATCCTCTTTTAGAATATATTTTGCTATTTTAACAAAAAAGATTTTACTTTAAATGAGAATGACAGAAAAAAATGAAGATAAAAGCAACATTATTCTCAAAGTGTCATATAGAATCATATAGAAAAAATGACATAAAATATTAAGGATTTCAAATTTCTGCAGAATATGTTAAACTAACAATGTATATGTTTAAAGATAAACAAAGTAACCAATAAGTGAATAGAAAAATAGAACAATCTAGTAGAACAAAAGCTGAGAATCTCATCAAAGTATGAGAAGGAAAGCCAGGCTGAGCTCTGACAGCACACTTACCATCTTTAGCATTGACGAAGGATCTCCTGAATTTATATTGCCAGCCAACAAGCGAATCATCTTTTCATTTGCTACACCAATTAGTTTTTCTGACTTTGTACTTTCGACCACATTTTCAAGAGCTGTAAAAAGTTTTGAATAGAGTGCTCTTACATTGTCAACACATAAAAAATTACATAAAATAAGGAACTTATGTAAAATTTTACTATTTCTCTTCAAATGTTTGCCTTTTTTTTTTTTTTTTTTTGTAACAAACATTTTCAAGAGCTGTAAAAAGTTTTGAATAGAGTGCTCTTACATTGTCAACACATAAAAAATTACATAAAATAAGGAACTTATGTAAAATTTTACTATTTCTCTTCAAATGTTTGCCTTTTTTTTTTTTTTTTTCTGAGACAGGGTCTCACTATGTAGTTGAGACTGACCTAGAACTCATCACTATGCAGCCCAGGCTGGTCTTGAACTCACAGTGATCCTCCTGCCTCAGTCTCCTGAGTGCTGGGATTACAGGCATGCACTACCATGCCTGGCTCTGCTTTCTTTTTTTTCATCGAATTCTGAATTTATCTGTAAGCCAACTTCCTTTTCATTGTATACTTTATGTGTTAGCAAAAATTTAAAAACTTGCTGGCACATAATACAATTTCAAACAGCAAACATAGCCATTTAAAATTTATCTTTTGTTTAAGTGTTATCAGTTTGCTTTTTCTAAAAAAACTGAATTTCTTACCTTCTTTCCAGCCTCTTAATAGAGGATGCAGGGAACAAATTCCTGATTTTGATAAATATACAGCAATTTTCATCTCAACAGATTCCAGATCACCATTAGTGATGACCATAAAAGGTAGCAAATGTACAATGATCTGATTTGACAACTGATCACTTTCACTCAGTATCTCTTCTTTAATTAATATGTCTGCTGCTATTTGAAGGACCTTGTACCTAAAAGACAAAGTACACTTGGTTGAGACATGTTAGACATTTCAATGTAGCAAAAATCTATCATAACATTGTTCTAGGTTGACTGACAATATCTTGATCTTCTCTCTGAAAATATTAACACGAGACACCAAAGCATCACTTAAAATTCAAGCCAATAAAGGTATTATCTGGGACAACCACTATGCCCTGTCAAATCTTATTTCTTTTCCTTAAAGAAATCACCAGGCAAAGAAAGTATTAGGTTTACAACATAAAAGATATCATAGTCCATGTCTCAGCTGCACTGGGCACCAGATATTTATCATGCATTCAAAAAATATTAACTGAGCACATCCTTGTGATGGAACCAACATAGCATCTATGTGACACACATTTACCTATATGTCAGACACAAAACTGTGTAGGATGAATGCACTCTCATGCTCAGAGGAGCCTTGTTACTTTTCTTTGCAAAGTTTAGGTGCCAAAATGAAACAACCAGGGTGTGGGGAAAAAATGAAAACCAAACCTGTCATGTAAAGGTACAAGATCCCAATGATGAATGTAACTGTACTGTATACCTAAAATGTACCAATAAACTCAATGAAGAAAAAAATAAACTCAATGAGAAACAAAACAAAACAAAACAAAAAAATGAAACAACCAAGCTCATCAAATACTATGCAAGGTATCACCAGCCTCTGACCTTATTACTTGTTTAATGTATTTGTATTGTTTTTAATCACAAAGTATTAATTACATAGCAGTACATAAAGTAGAAAATTACAAGTCTTTTATCCTACTTCCCAAAATTTAACATATTTTTGCATTTTAAAAAATTTTAAACTTAGAAAATAGTATAATATAAACTGAAATAAATTAGTTTTATTATGCAAGAGGGTATTGCATTGAGATGTGACCGAAGGTCACATAAATAAAATGTAATTAGTAGAAAAAAAACAAAAAAAGAAAAATCAATGTGACCTTGATGTGAGAACTTCATCAAAAGCATGGGGAGAAAGGTGAAAAAATGAACACATACCATTCCTTATTCTTTGAAAGTTCTGCTCTTCGAAAGAGATTCAGAAGATTTGAAACAGTCACTTCTGTACTAAAGTGTTGCTGGAAAATCTATATGGAAAAAAAACCCACGAGTAAATATTTACCTGCTCAAATATGTATAGTTTCTAAAATTAGCTTTATAAACAACTTCTTACTAGGATCCCAATGAAGCATCAAAGTTTGAGAGCAGTTTCTCAAAAGTGGCACTCATGACCCAATTTTCCATGTTCCCAAGACATCTGCTATTCATACAGATATTTAAAAGCAATATAAAAATTTACGAAGCACCTTTTCTTTCTGAAGGACTTCTTTATACATCAAATTGTTCAGTCTAATTGTTCCTTTGAGCTTCCTCTAACCAGACTGTGTTCTCAAGTGAATAATTTCCAGTGGAAGAATAATTTCCAAATATCTTCCTGCCCAGAGCAGAGAATCATGCAAGGCCAAGAAAATATTTACAAATAAAATGTACACCTCTATAACCAATTCACTCACCTCAAAAGCACCAACAGCTGACAAAACAACTTCTATATTTTCATCACTTAATCGGGTTAAAATAGCTTCCTTTATGAAAGACTCATCAATGCCTTCCTGAACAACAGGAAAAACAAATAAATTTAGCTGTTGCTACAACCTCATAAGACCTTAGGCTGGAGAGAACAGTTTTGTGAAATGCACTGCAGAATACCAGTCAAAATACACAGGCCCTGCCCTGAAGAGAATTCAAACATTCTAGAACTAGGACGTCTCTAATAGGCTTTCCAATGAAAATGGAATAAGTTTCCATTAAAAATGGTATAAATCAAACATAATCTTTCTATTAAGGAGTTGATCTTATTAAAACAAGATCCAGACACTGAATGAAGTACACAGACTACAGAACAAGAAGGCCCAGGCTTGAGTCCTAGCTCCACAACTCACTAGGTGTGCGACCTTAGGCGAATCACTTAATCTTTCTGGGCTTCATTATTCTCATTTATGAAACAGAACTGCTCATAATAATATCTACCTTGAAGTGTTGGCAGAGTTTTAAAAATTATGTCAGTATCGAACAACATGTTATACATAATAAATACTAATAAAAGTTAGTTACTAGTATCTAGACTTTTATAAGAATAAGGGAATGCACTTCAAAGCCAGTCTACCACAAATTGATGGCCTATTCTTTAAATTATGAATAAAATGAAAGCTAGGAATGTCACAATAGGGGAAAAATAAAACTGCCAGTTAACCCAAAAGTATCTCTGTGCACTGGGAATGCAGGTAAAAATCTTATAAAAATAGTGGTCATTACTGTTAGGAGACAAAGAATTCACAAAAATTAGGGTAAATTTTATTTGTCAAATGCCCCCATAGTTTCCTAAAGTGCTAAAAAGCAAGCCATATACTCAGTCTGGAATTCTAGAACACAATCTATGCCCTGTCACTTATTGATGGAGAAGGAAAAATAAAATGTGACATACAAGGAAAGACATTCACTGTGTCACGGCACTGTAGCTCCTAAGGTGAATGTGCATAGTGTCCCATGAAAAACAAAGTAAATCCGCAGATCAGACGGAAAGATTAAGAGTAAAAAGCAGGAAGAGAATACCTTCACAAAGATTTCAGAAATGCCTTTTATTCTAGCCACCAAAATCTTCCAATCACAACAAAGACCATTGTTTAAAGAGTTTAGTTATTCAGTGAACCAGTAAAATAAACCTACTAACAGTACATGAAAGAAACACAACTCATGCCATATCAGAAATGTATCAAATAGAGCAGCACTTTTCAAAGAAATATTCTCACAGGTCCTAACATTGCTTTAAATAGCTTATTATTTACATATAAATTTTAAAACTGTTAACTCTTAAAAAGTTAATGATATAGAACAGAAATACACAATATTTTTAAAAATCAGCAATGCAAATATAAAAAATCCTATAAAACTAATAAAATGCAGCTTATTTCTGTATGTACACAATATCAATTCTTATAACCTTAATTTCTTACACTAGGATTAGACTGCTCATCATAAGAAAAAGAAAATCACACCTGAAAGTTATTGGACACAAACCTTTGATGTTTTCATGATATTTTTCAGGTGATTAATGGCCAAAAGTCTCACAGGAGCAAGTGGATGATTCAGACTGAGCATCAAAGAGGTATCAGAATCTGCTAAAAACTGTAGGTTCAACAGTTACCAAATGATTTCACTTAAGCTTAACAGAATATGACCAAGAATAAAAACAATATACTTCAAGCTCTCCAACATATTAATTAGTAAAAGCCATCTAAAACTATAGAAATTGGGCTGGGGATTTAGCTCAGTGATGCTACTGCCTGCCTCACACACACAAGGTCCCAAGTTCAATACCTGGTACCAAAAAATAAAAATAAATAAATAAAACTATAGAAATCAAAATGTAAAGCAAAATTGTCTGTAGAATGTTACAACAGATGAATAAATCTGTATTATTAATGGTGATTTCATGTCCATGTGTGTATGTGTAGGCTTGAGTCAGGGAAATGAGTCTATGAATTTTGTATTTTTATGTATATCTAACTGCAAGCAAAAAGCACAAAAATAAATCATTAAATTAGCACTTTACTGAAAACAGAATGTAGGTCAACTAAAAGATACAGCAAAGTGAAACTTAATGACAACTAGGCTCACTTACATAATTAGCTGAAGCATAAAGTCTAAGATTTGGAAATGCAACTATTAAGGATAAAAGTCTTATAATGGGAAGGAAAAACTAAGTCAACCATTTTTTTCTTCATAATACCCATTTTCAAGGATTAATTATAAGAACTTCTGCTTAAAAGTCTAACTTGTGGCCAGGCATAGTAACCTGGGACACACTGCAAGTTCAAGGCCAGCCTGGGATACAAAGTGAGACCTTGCCTCAAAAAAAAAAAAAAAAAAAAAAAAAAAAAGTCTAATTTGTATGTAAAGATTTAGGATTGACTCCTCACAAGATTTCAAAAGTTTTATGATGGTCATGAACTATTTTAATAAATGATTTAATATGGCCAGTGGGGATTGTACTGCCTAGAAGAACACTAAGGAGCAGTGGAAATCTCCCAGGCTTCCCTATGGTGATTGTTAACAAACATTATATATGAAATTTCCCAACAATACTTTTTCTGAAATAAGCACCCTGTTCAATTATTTAAATATGATTACACTTTTCTTTAATTATTCAATTTCTGGGTCAAGAGCAAGAATAAAAACTATGTAAAGTCCCATCTCTATGACATTTTCCAGAGGGGAATTATCATCTGGAGCTATTCAATAACCATGCAATGTCATTATTTCCTGTCATAGTGCTGCTGGAGAACCATGTACCTGGTATTTTCCTCCACTTGTAGAAAGTGAAATAAATTGGTGAAAAAGCTCTTGTTTTTTTAGACCTGTAATTTCCTTTAAGCGCTCCTCTAAAACAACATCTAATGTTTGGGGATATCTAGAAAGAAATTTAAAAGAGTTCATTATTCTTATAAAGGCATTAATCACATATCCACACATATACTAAAAACATAAAATACAAATTAACTTAAGTTTTAACAAATGGTATACATAAAATCAAGTTATAGATCAAGTTTGTCACTATGAGCACTCCAAAAACAAGTCTCTATAAAAACAATGTACTCTCCACAGTCCCGACACACCTCATATTTTTTCTTATATTTAGCATTTTTGTTATACTTCCTGAAAAGAAATAAGGACAGTCTCTTACAATACACTGTAGGAGGATGTGACTGACTTGTAAGTTATCTCTTGATAGAAGGCAGAAGTGTGCATTAAAGGAGCACTGATACACAACTTACTTGCTTTCTAAAAGTCTGACGAATGGGAGAAATTGTTCATTAAGCAAAGACACTTTATTAGGATCGATTTCTTCCTGTGAACTATATGAAATATATTCTTCAAAAAGAAGACTGCAAAAGAAAGCAGATATCAGCAGATATAAGAGTTACTATTGAGTCTCTACTATGTTCTCAGTGTTTTACAAATATTCTCTCTATTGCCATACCTCTACAAGGTAGAAACCATAATTATTTTATCAACACAGAAACTAAGGCATGGTGGCAAACCGATGGCACATGTGCCACAATGTTATCACTGAAAGCTCTAAAAGGTTCGCCATCACTGAACTAGATTGTAAGACAACTTTCATCCAGGTAGTGGCACACGCTTGTGATCCCAACACTTGGGAGGCTGAAGCAGGAGGATGGCTATGAGTTCGAGGCTAGCCTGAGCTTCATAACAAGTTCAAAGACAGCCTGAACTGCATAATGAGACTGTCTCAAAAAAAAAAAAAAAAAAAAAAAAAAAGAAATAAAGGACATCTTTCAATTTGCCTAAGGTCCAATTAAACAGCACCAGAAACCCAATCCTCAATGATTACTTGTATGGGGGGTGCACACTACATTTTAAAACTCATTGTGATTCCAGAGCTTTTACATGTAACTTTCCAACTAACTTCTAAACAAGGGACACAGATGACACATGCACCAGCAGGAAGGTCCTGCCCAACCTTACAAAATGGCAAAAACAGACCCAAAAAGTCTGACCTGCAGAACCAACTACTCTACTGGAAGAGTCAGAGGCAGCGTTCCAATCTATGTCTGAATGCAGTGCCCATTCTATTCACTGTAGCAATGAACAGAGGGGGGAGGCTAAAGCATCTGCACAGAAAATAAATAATCTTCACTACATGCCTACTCAACATTTAAATTTCTTTCTTTCTTTCTTCCCCCCGCCTGGTTTTCTGAGACAGGGTCTCACTATGTAGTTGAGACTGAACTGGAACTCACTATGTAGCCCAGGCTGGTCTCGAACTCACAGTGATCCTCCTGCCTCAGCCTCCCAAGTGCTGGGATTACAGGTGTGAGCCACCACGCCCAGCTCAACATTTAAATTTCAATGGACATTTAATATTAACTGTGATTTATTATTTTACACATTATAGTCCTCTAACAGAAAACTTTAAACACCCACAAACTGTACTTAGTTACCAGCCAAATTTGGTTTAACTTTCCATTCTCTTCTACAAACATTAAAGACAAACAAGGAAAATTACTTTTATTTTTCATGTGGTCACAATTATTCCATTAAGTACATATAATTAATGAAACGATACAGACAAAAGATACACATTAAAAAGGGACACTAGAAAACTGCTAACCTATCCTGAAGTATCTGTTGAGCCTCAAATCTGTAAATCAAAAGCATGTTAACAACAATAGCTTACCTAGCCAACAAATGGTCTAACTTGTTCTTCAGTGGTATTTTTGTAAGTATAGCTTCTAGGTGTCTCTTGTAAATTTGACCATCCATCCCTTCCATCATTTCTTCTCCTTAATGTGTAACAAATTTAAATTAAGTCGGGGAAAGTTTTTTGAATGCTCATACAATTAAATATACTTAAGTAAATTAGAGTAGAAAAATCTCTCTAAGAAGAATTTAAAAACATTTAATGTTTTTTACTTATTTTCAAAGGTATAGTTTACCTGTTTTGTTTTTCAAAGTATTTTTGTATATATTACCCTCATTTGTTTTACCTAAAGTTCTCTGTTTTTAACAAGTATTATCATGCTTCTATCAATAATAAAAGCACAAAAGATATATACCTTTTCCCTGAGTATTATTACAAGTTAATGATGAAGTTGGGCCACAATCTAAATCTCAGTAAATTACAATATCTCTGAAAACAGGCTTTCACCTCTATGCCTTCCTACTGAAGGTTGTCATCTTCTATTCCAGATTTATTATAAACACAGCAATCTAAAGTTGGCCCTTGCCTTCACCTTAATAGGAAGAATACATTTTCTTTATGGTAGCCATTTTCTTGAAATGCATATTTAAAACCAAGATTTTGTTGTGTGAATCTCATTTTCTAATGCACTGACATAATTCTGTAAATGTTTTGGTGTTTCCTAAGTAGCAACAGGATAAAGTATTTCTTCTTTCTGCCTTTCTGAAGCACTAATACAAGGCAAATAATCACTTTCTATTTATTTTTGGCTTACTTTTATAATATGGATTTCTATGCATGGAATCTCTTGGTCTTATATTTTTTGCTGTTGGACAAGAAATTAGTAGGGTGTGGACCCTAGTTTATGAAAGTCAAGTCTTAGTAAACTTCTTTACATAAATGTAAAGCCACATACCTGTAACATGATGAATCACGGAGACAACTAGATGGGGAAGCATGTACCTCAGAAGAGAACTGACATCATATGTTTCAGAAATCCCACGAAGGATTTCAATAAGGTCAGGAACATTACACAAGTGGGGAAACGGCCTTGGGAGAAGCAAGTATACCTGACGGTTAGACAAGTGGCAATATAAAATAGTGTATCACTTCTCTAACAAAAATATTCAAGATAACTACATGTACCTCTAACTAGTATCGTTTCTCAATTCAATGATACATACTTTTTCCCAAGACTTTCTGGCTTCTGTCTCTGCAGGAGAACTATCAAGCAACCTAATCCATCCTTGACCAAAGAGGGAACTTTGGTCAAAGTCTTGATGATCTGTGATGCCAGCGAATTAACAAAGGTATCTTCCATTGTAACTTTCACAGAAATCTGACATATTATCATGTATGTTGCAGCTCTGTAATCTGGTAAAGATGATTTCAATCCCTAAATATTTTGCAAAATATAAGGAAAAGTACAAAGTATAGAAATTATTTTTTTTCACTTAAAATGCTACTTTACCACGATATAGAAATGTCAATGTTTAAGGAAACACATATGTTTAACCCAATTTAAACATTATACCACATCATGTATCAAAACATTGCCTGGTACTCTATAAATATGTACAATTTTTGTTTTCATATAGGATTTGCAAGCCCTATCTGTGGAAGGAACACTTCGATCAGATTCTGGACAGCGGTAAAAAAGGGATTTGTTTAAAGACAGTTATTTTGGACACTGTGGGAGTGGAAAGCTAAGCCTTCACAGGAAATCTGGAAAGGCAGCAGGCAGCACAGCTCTTGAGAAAGAAAACACATTATGAAGCAAAAGCCAATACAACAGGAAAAGTGATATTTGCCCTGTTCTCTTTCCAGTGAGGCAAAATGACTGCCAAGAAAATAGATCTGGGAGATGGTAATACAGGCAGATAGTGAACATTTACTAATTAGGTCTGAAAATAAGTTGTATTCTTCACTTGAAGATTAAATCTTATTACTCATCTGAAATAAATTTTCAATTTAAAAACATTTATATCTATATGAAATTTTCAAAAGCAAGGAAATTTCTTTAAGTACAAAACAAGCTATTTGACACATCTGCAGGACTAACCTTTTGGATATATGGAAACAATTTGGCAATAACATTGTCTGATATGTCCCCAGTGGCTACTAGAGCAGTCACAATGGTAGAAGCATAAAAAGTCAAGAGCACCCTCAACTGGGCTGCACTTCCTGGATACTCAGCAAAAGCCTGGAATAAACAATGTAAACCAAACACAGGGAATTACATCAAAACACAAAGGTATTTACAGCTCTCCTGAACTACTTTGACATTTTGTTATCACATACAACAATGAATGAATACACAACAGGATAAGAATGAACTGCCCAACAATCTTTCTGACATTTTTAGATGGTTTCTTTAGTTAAGTCAGAGTAGCTAGTACTTGGGAAGGAACAGACAAATTTACTTTTGTAGAAAAATGTCCTTAGTGAGAAAAGACTGATTCTCAAATTACTTAGGTGCCAAACAGCACATCATTCAACAAAACAAATTTCTTCAAAGTATCACTGTTCCCAGGGAAGGATTTAGTATGTTTTCTTCATTCAGATCAGGCAACCATTCCAGAGAATTACACACTAATGAAAAATATATACTACATACCTTCACAGATTTGGTCACCAGACTACAAATGAAATCCATGAATCCAAGATCTTTGTAGCAGTGGGTGACCAAAGTTCCTTTAGCTAAAGGCACTCCAGATTGCTATTATTGACAGGAAAAACAAGTTATTAAGGATATTTATCAACTGATCATTATTTTCAAGTACCTACCCTAGTAACATCATTTTATTGCCACAGTTCATAAATACAAAATATAATTTCTTTGTACAGCTGGTGGCAGTGATGGGATAAATGTAAAACTGCAAACTCTAGAAATTCAAGAGATCAACAATGAAGGCAAAGTAAATGCGTGAAAAATGCTTACGTCACATTTTGGTATGTATTTCTCTATCTGGATTTAGATTCTAAGTAATTTTACTGCTTAGATTTGGTTTGTGAGCCAACATGACATGGTTTTGTCACTGCAATACGATACTGCCAATAACAAACAAACTAGGAACCTGACTGTATTATACTGCTATTCCTACTATCTAGCACTGTATAAGGTCTGCTGATACACATGAAATAATGAAAGAATTGGAAATAACCTTCAGTATGTGAGTGCAATATGGGTGCCTAGGGAGTACCATGGCTTGTGTTCAGACCAGGAGAAAATTATCCTGAAGCTCTGAGCAGAATCAATGCTAAGAAGAGCAGCTTGCTAAGCAGCTTTATCACAGGTTGGGTTCTTTAGTTCAAAAGCTTCATATCCAGAGTCTTAATTTTGCTTCAAATTAAAACCTCCCTGCAGTACTCTGGGAGGCTGAGGCAAGAGGATCTCAAGTTCAACCCCAGCTTATGCAACTTAGCTATGTAACAAGACCCTGTCTCACAATAAGGAAAAAAAAAAGTTTTAATTAAAAATGGGCTGGGAATATAGCTCAGTGGGAAGGTGCTGGGTTCAATCCTCAGTACTATACACATATACAAAACAAAACAAAGACACACACGCACACACAAACCAGAAAAAAACAAAAAACACTCTCACTCATTCTGATCACTGACCTAACCACCATCTGTCAAACTGACTGTACAGCCCCATGGCCTACTTTGGCCTCACTTGCTCTCTTCCCAGCCTGGATCTCCACACTCAACAACACATAACGAACTTACTACTAACAACATGCACCTACTTTCCTCTATCACACATTGCACACAAAATGCTAGCGGCAAGTCAGTGCTTTTGTCATAACACTGTGATATCCAATCTTATACAGAACTACCCTGGTAGGCAACTACCCACTTATTCATCTATAAATTAATCCCAAATCCAAAGTCACAGTTTTTAATAATTTCCTGAAGTTCTTTAGGTTACCCTCAACTTTTAAACTTTTATTTGTTGTACTGATGATCAAACTCGGGACCTTGTGCTTGTGAGGCAGGCAGTATTGGACCAGGGCCGGGGATTTAGCTCAGTGGTGCCACCACCTCCCTAGTAAAAACAAGGTCCCAAGTTTGATCACCAGAACCAAAAGAAAAAATAAATACTGTTGGTCAGGTGTGGCAGCACATGCTTATAATCCCAGCACTTGGGAGGATAAAGCAGGAGGATTGCTGTTAGTTTAAGGCCAGCCTGGGCTACACAGGGAGTTCAAGTTTGGCCTAAACTACAGAGCAAGACTTTGGCTCAAAAAAATAAAAAATAAATAAATGGTAATGCCAGTCTTTCCCATCACCTGTTTTATTTATTTATTTTTAACTTTTTCAGTTCCAAAATTTAAAATGGCACATAGCACAATACAATGAGAACAGGCTTTAACTGCAAAACAAGATTCAAATTCTAACTCCAATCCCCACAGTTAGCAATTTTCTGAACGTGTCCTCATCTGTAAAATTAGTTCTGTGAGAAAAGACAATGCTATAAGGTGATGTAAAATGAAAAAAAAATGATGTAGTTAATATACGAAACATCCCTAGAGGCACTAAGGATTTTATTTTTTTGCAAATTATATTTATAATATCTATGTACAGATATTTGTCATTCCATAACCATACCTTAACTGGTAACAACCAGAACCATTTGTGCTTTGAATTATTAAGTTTCAGAAGCTGTATCACCCGTACAAATATTCTTGTCTCGTGGTACGGTAGAACACAACCAATGAGGCTATCTTGATTATAGAGATGAATATGGAACCTGAGAAAAAAGCAAACAACTCAAACTGGCACAAAACTTATAGGCACAGGTTGCCTGCATATCCAACTTGCATATCAATGAGACAAAAATTCCTAGAAAGAGTATCAGCCAGATACAAAACACTTAAATAAGCTCTGTATTTTGCTTCAACATGGTTCTGTCACTCCTTATGTAGTAATTTTGAATGTTCAGCATCAAAATTAACAACCCACTCTCCATCATACATTAATAAAAGTTCAACAAAGAATCCCACAACATTCCTAACTGCCACAATTATAAAAACAAGACTAATTAAAAAGAAAATCACATTTCTTTGGATAAGAATTTGGATAAAAATTACCAAATGACAACCATATATAATTTGTACATGAACTTCATAAAGCTTATTATCAGTCTCTACCTTAAAAGGGAATATAAAATAAATTTACTAATTCTGTGAGATATAATAAATTCTTCCCCACAATCAGGTTAGCTCACATGCCTTCATCTTCAGTCTTCAAAGTCATTTTCCTAATACTCTCAGCCAAGTGATCTTTCACGTGTCTGTTTAAATTGTCCTATGCTTTTACATGTATACTTCTTATAGTTTCACTGTGCTCCATCTTTAGTTAGTTATAGACAAGGCTTTAGTATTAGCCAAGGGGTTACTTTTTCCATAAAGCTTTCCTCAATTAATCCAGACAGAGCTACCTCCCCATAACCTTGCATAAACCTTAAAGCAATTATTTCAAAATAATAACCAAAAGCAACCTATTCATCCATGTACCAAACTTCATGTTTCTTGAAATAAGTTACATGAAGAAATAAATCAAATGCAAAAATATTGCTTATATTAATAATCTATTTGGAAAAAATTAAATGCTAGATGACAATAGGAATTTTAATTATACTTGTGAACTTTTTTTGGGTCTGGTGAATCTAGTGTTCTAAAAGTTGAGAGAACCATGTTAAAACTATGTTTTCTTAAAGACTCACCTGCTTCCTGCAAGGAAACTACTATCCTCCCTTATCTCCACTAATGAAATGCAGATCTTTCTACTTCTAAAACTCATGTACTGCAGAATAAACAAAATGTGTAAGATGTGATGTGATATCAAAAAGTGAGAATATAAACTGAGTAAAATGACAGTGACCAAAGCAGATGAAAGATCAGACCTTAGAAATGTTGTATACTAGCCATGCCACTTATTACTAGTTGTTTGACTCAGACAACTAAAATGCTCATTTTCTCAGTTGTAAAAAGGAACAGTAAAAGTATCTCCCCTTAGAATATGGTAGGGATTGAGATAATATATGAAACTTGCTTATGATAGAGCCTGATACATAAATAAATGCTCAATGCACATTTGCTATTACTGTTTTGGTTTTTTTTTAAAGTTATAGTATTTTAGAGGATACCATTACTTTCTATTTTGGAAAAAAGAAAGTTAATACCCTTTGTCTTAAGTATAATGGAATAATCTATAATGGCAAAGTGACTTAGAACTAATGAGGCTGGACCTTTTACTCAGGATCATTAGCAGTAGGTTTAATAGAAGAACATGCTTATGTCATGTTCTAGACATATTTATTTCTTTTCGTTTTTCTTTTTGGTACCGGGGATTAACTCAGGTCCTTGTGCTTGTGAGACAGGCGCCAGAACCACTGAGCTAAATCCCCAGCCCGACATATTTATTTCTTAAGACACCTAATTCTTTAGTTTCAAGTTTGTAAGTGTTCTTATTTATCTGATTTAAAAAAAAAAAAACAAAACACAAGTAGTCAGCCCATAGTTATATCTGTAACTATTACCTACCTGTGAATCAACCACTCCAGACACTTCTGTGCTGGCTTAAGCAGGAAGTAAGGGGACAAGTGAATAAGGAATAATGAAATGTTTTCATCCAGCTGTTTGTTCACTGCTTTGGTCTGAACGCTGCGCTCCAAGGTTTTTGCTAGCTGGCTGAACAACGGTGCCTCAAATTGCTCAAAGGCAGGATCAATTCCAAGTAGTTCCTCTAGACCAGTGCATCCTGGGAAAACATCAGTTTACTTAACAGTTCTTTGCAAGCAAACTCATCCCATTCTCTTTTATAGTTTTACATGACCCTAAAGCCTATATATCCTTTTAGCAAGTACAACATATAATGCAGTCCCAAACACAGGTTTTTATTTTTCAGCACATAAAAGTAAATCCTACCTTTCTAATTAGGAGAACAGAAGGTACTTCATAACAAAAGCCATTCCTTTTTTCTTTTAAAACCCCTGACAAGAGAACTTCTCTTCCACGCTTGCCAGTACTTGTGTCGCTTTTTAACTTTTTCTATTTAACATATTAGTTGACCTCCCCGATCTTGTTTCATTTGTGAAATTCAGACACCACTTCAAGCACCAAGGCCCTACAGTCACTTGGATATGGTTGTTATTCTCTTTCCCTTAACAAAAGCCCACAAATTAGAAACTTCTAAGAAAGAGGGTCAGAAAACAAGGAAATACTGTAACATCCAGAAAGCAGACGTTTCAAAGGGTTTCCCAAAGTTAAAAGGCCAGCTCACCGATGGCAAAGGCCGTGTCCCTGTCGACAGTACCCGCTTCCTTGGGGTCAAACAACAGAGAGGCAACTACATCTCTAGATAAGAGGCTGGGGTCACTTTGAGGGAGGGCAAGACGCTGGAGCTGCTGGGCTAAGGACGTCATCCTTCACGCCAGATTTCTAAAAACACAGGGTAAGAAACACAACCGTTGTAAGAAATCTATGGGAAGTTATAAGAAGCTTTACGTGCAAGTAACTCTCCTCCGCACTCAGAGGCCTCAAGAGCACACAAATCGGCTGTTCCGAGCTCGCAGACTCTCTCCACAGGCGCGCAATAGCTTAATTTCAGTTTTCCGCACCGCGGCTTCCCACTCCGCAACCCCAGCCCGCAGATGCCTCCAAAACCCGCCGATGCCTTACCCTTTCCCCGGGTCACCGCCGCGTCCCGCAGCCACGCCAGCCGGTTCTGTTCTCCACCCCACCCGGAGCTCGAGATTTGGGTACAACCGGGAAGTTTACAACTCTTCACAGCAGCTCCCACATGGAATCCGAATTCAGCTCACGCCCGGAAACCTGCAGCATGTCTCAGAGGAACTTCCGGTTTTAGGCACTACGGCAAGTGAAGAGGTACCAGTTTGTGGAAAGGCGACAGGTTCGCTCAGCTCGCTAGACGCGTAGCCCCGCCCACGACACGCCCCGATGACGAGTGCCGCCCCTCGGGACTGCAGGCTTCCGCTGTGGGTGTCAGTCAACGCTGTGCAACCGCGCACGCGCGGGGGGCGGGCCTGGGTTTCTTTCAGTCTCTAGATGAAGATGCGTCCTGTTAGTTTTAAGTATCCGTTGCCAGACTCATCAGTTCAGCGAGTACTCATCCACGGTTACTACTATGTACCAGTACCGCACAGGAGCTAAAGCTAGGGAATCGTGAAACCTAGGTGCCTGGTTCAAATCTTAGCGCCTCGCCTCTCGGCTCTGTGACCGTCACCTAATTGTGTCAACTGTCAGAGTTTGTTACTTGCTCTATAAAGTGAGAAGAAGTCGAGAGTTTCGTGCTGAACACCATCGCCGCGGAGATCGGCGCTCCCCGTCGCTGTTGTTTTTGTTTTGCTATCATGGAGGGCACGGAGGACTTTTTTTAAACGAACCCTTCACAAACAGTAAATGTACCCATTTAATTTGAACAGCTGGAAGAGGTTTAGCAATTGAATATGCAGGTGTGACTACCTCCCAGGTCCGAACTACATTTCCAAGACCCCTATATTATTTTCTTCTGCTCTGTGACGAGGCCCACCTGAGCCCCGCTCCAGAACTACACAGATCCTCGGGGCGTCGGTGTGGATGACCGTTGCTGCAGAGTACCACTTAGCGACCCACTAACCCAGAGTGGCACATGCTGGACCCAGAATGTACTGGCTTCTCAGACCCTGAACGGGATGGAGGGCTGAGCCGGGATATACCCTGTCTGTCTTTGGGGAGCATTCAGCTCTCTCCAGACGAGGCTCACTGGTGCCAGGGGGTCAGACATTTCCCAACCCTCTTCTCTGGGCAACACAGCCACAGAACCACGCTGTCCCTTTTCTTATACTTCCTCAGATTCTCTCTCATTAATGCAGGCATCTGTTGTTGGTTTGCTTTAGCAGCATTTAAAAAAAAAAACATTGCTTCAGCTATTTTTGCAAATAGTAATCTACTTTTTCATGTGGGTTCACTGCCTTGCAGAGAATAGTAACAAGAAAGTTCTAATGTCTATTTCATCCTCACATAGTTTTTTGTTTTAGTTTGACAAAATTTATTGGTTATTTTAGTAAAGACATTCGTCTCAGTCGTTTCTCTCCTCACCTTGACCTTAGATTAGTATTTCATTTGGGTCAAGAAAAGGGCATGTAGGAGAGGGATGTTACTTTAACAAACATTAAAATATACAAAATTGAATAGTTTGCCTACATAAAAGTAAGGTAATATTAAATTTATGTATCTTTGGTACTGGGGATTGAACTCGGGTCCTTGTGCTTGCAAGGCAGGTGTGGCGGAACTTCTGAGCTAAATCCCCAGCCCAAATTTATGTATCTTGATATAATTAAATCATGTAAGAACTAGTAGTTCTATATACATTTCCATTGTTTTACTTGGGGCTTAATCTAAACATTAAAGTAAATGAACAACTTATTAGGCATATATGCAGTTTTCTTCTCTGGATTTCTACCTATTAAAAAAGATCCACAAGTAACTACCACCAATAAAACAGTCTAAAGCTGCCTCCAAATTTAACTTTGTAGGAATTCTGAAGGAAATCACTGTATCATTTTTCTTCTGTCACTGACTATGCTTTCAAAGATGTATTTAACTGTCACATTAAAAAAGTTCATGTACAACACAAAGATGCAAAACACCTAGAGTACACAAATCTAACAGTATATGTGATGAACAATTGCATAAAATGTGTTTTAAGATGCATTTTCTTTCCTTCTATTTTCAGTACCTACAATATGCTTTTGAGAGGCTGGTGGGCAGTATGCACACACTTAAAGTAAACAACATAATTATTCTAATAAGAAATCCCATAGTGAGTTCAATTCAAATTGGATTTAACTTCGTAATGTAAATGTGTAGACAAAGTTACAGAAAATTCATCTTATTGTTTTCCATCTCCTGCAACGTTAAATTCTTTACTTTGGTATTTATGTCTTTTAAAAAATAAAAACCAGTCAAATGCTTAAGCAATATGTACATTTAGATTTTTGGTGGTGACAAACAGATCTCTTAAAGGAATTTTTTTTCTTTCTCAAGTGTCACAGTAATTTTACAATTAATAGTCTAATAGTCTTTTCTAATAGTCTTATTTTTATTTAGTGGCAAAATTTTTAAATAACATGATTTAAAGCTATCTAAAGGTGTTTGGTAAATATTTTCACAAAGTAAATTGCAAGTTCATTATTTGAAGTTTAGGTTAGGTGTGGTAGCACATGCCTGTAATCCCAGTACTCAGGAGGTTGAAGCACTGTAAATTTGAGAGCAGCCTAGGCTACATAGGGAGTTCACAGCTATCCTGAGCTACACAGCGAGACCCTGTCTCAAAAAAAAAAAAAAATCAAAGTCTATCTAATTGTCATTGCAAAGACTAAGTATCACCATCATTCATGGTATATGTCCACCTATTTTCAGATTTGAGTCACATGAATTGTTTAATGTTGCTAAATGTTCCTCATCTGCATGGCCAATTAAGGGGACTATTACGCTAATTCCCAAGTAAACCAGAACTATAAACTGGAAAACAAAGTAAATAAGAAGTCACAAGTTTGGAATTACTTAGAAACCATACTGCATTATATAAAATCTGTTACATTCATTTAGTTTGAAAGAAAAATAACTAATTAATCAGTCTTCTCTAAGTACATCTTATTTAAATTCTCCTTGCACGTGGAGGAAATGTTTAGAAACTGCAGAAACCACAGACTCAAACTATTCAGCTTTTCTTTTATTTTTGGGACATAGGGAAATGATCTGTTTATCAGAGACTCAAGTGAACAAATCATGAGAGAGACTGAATATTTAGGTTTGTGGTTACACTGCCTCTTGCAACACTAAGTGGAAGATTTTTGAGGGACAGACTCATATTTTTAAACAAATTGGTTTGTATGTATTTGTGAGATCAGGACTTTACTCTGATCAAAAGATAGTATTGAAGACAAGAGCAAATGTTTATCACTGAATCCTCATTACTAAATACAGTACCTGGGACATGGGTGACATGTATTAACTGAATGAGTGAAAATGTGGATAGCTGTATCTGTGTCTCTTTTCTGCTCAAGAAATGTGAAGCAAGGGCTGGGGATTTAGCTCAGTGGTGCCACCACCTGCCTTGCAAGCGCAAGGTCCCTAGTTCAAACTCTGGTACCAATAAATAAATAAAATTAAAATTATAAAAGAAATGTGAAGCAGATTGCAAGTGAACAAGAGTAACATTAGTATAGGAGCAGCTTAGCTTATTCTAGCTACAGCAAAAGTATTCAGAAACTTCTGAATTTTATATTAGATTATTTGCATCATATATCACAACTAACCGAATACATTGACTTTAAAATATATCTATCGATGAGAGAATAAATAAAATGCATGTCACTAGCAAAGTAAAAACAACATGGAAAATCTACATTTTGGACAACTAATAAACCCAAGTCTGGCTAAATGAATGAGAAGTTAACTATTTGTTTTTTCATATTGTATCCAAAAGAAAGTTAGTTGCATTGTTATGAATCTAGCACTTGGTGGTTTTGTCACTAACAACTCCTCTTTTTTTTTCCAGACTTGGGTGCTCACCTGAAATTCTACTACTCTGGGAGGCTGAGGCAAGAAAATCACAAGTTCAAACCCAGCCTAGCCAACTTAGAAATTTAGAGAGACCCTGTCTCAAAATGAAAATAAACAAATAATAAGGAAGCAGGACATAGCTCAATGTAAAGGCCCTGGACTCAATGTCTAGGACCACAAAACAAAACACTTTGGGAGTGGATAGCTATTTTGAAATGGCCCTGATAGGGAGCTAGGAGTTGAAAAAGAATGGTTTGGAAACAGTAGCAAGTGCCTAGTATATGGTTGGAAACCAGCAGGGGGCAACAAAGCATTTTTCTGACCCGGAGTGAATTCTGTCTCTAGGTGCCTTATGGGAAAAAGCAGTTTTCAAATTTTAAAAATTACAAGTGTCTAAAATGGTGATTCCCTAACCCTTTTATATGTTGTAAAATGAAATTAAAACAATGTTTCCAGTTGTTGTTTGGGGAGCTACAGAATTTATGTTTCCCTATTCTTTTCTAAGAAAAACTATTCAAAGTCATCTGTTTAGTAAATATATTAAATTCTAGGGCTGGGAAATCTGAGTCCTTTTTTTTTTTCAGCTGTGTTTCTTCCTATGCTAGTTTCTATGACTATTTGCTACTGGGTACTGTATATTGTTTAATTATTAGAGTAGTAGTGAATAAAGCTAAAAATTTCTTAAAACAAAGATTTGAATGGGTGAAGAAAATGGTGAGACTATTACTCTCTTGGAAGTAAGGAAAACATATAGATTGTCTATTTTCCATCCCCAAGTTATTTTATGTATTCAATTCAGAAAGAAAAATCCAAGAATTTTTTTCATTTGAAAAAATTTTTCCAAAGTGTACATAAAAGAATGAGTATACTTGAATGTATTTTTTAAATTCTCAGAGGGTTGCTTAATGGAAAAATATAACAGGGTAAATTAGCATTATCAGCTGTTAGAAATATATGACAAAGCAGTTGCAAGGAAGAGAGTATAGTGCTGGGGCAAAAACAGATCCCAGAACCAAATAGCTAATGCAGAGATAGACTCCAATATACGTGAGCAGTCACTGTAAGTACAAAGGGAAAATAAAAGCTGGGTGTGGTGGCGCATGCCTGTAATGCCAGCACTCAGGAGGCTGAGGCAGGAGGATCGCTGTGAGTTCGAGATCAGCCTGGGCTACATAGTGAGTTCCAGGTCATTCTCAACTACATAGTGAGACCCTGCCTCAAAAACAAACAAACAACAACAACAAAAAAAAAGGAAAATAAAAAATAATCTAGGAAAAAATATTTACTAATTAAAGTCAGGCT